TAACTGGCACCAGTGATAAATAACTGGCACCAGTGATAAATAACTGGTACCAGTAATTTATCACTGGTACGAGTGATAAATAACTGGCACCAGTGATAAATTACTGGCACCAGTGATAAATAACTGGCACCAGTGATAAATTACTGGCACCAGTGATATCAGTGAAGGTCTATAAAACAGACTTAAACTCTTTCTCTCTAAACTGAGGTCGATCAAAGACCTACAACAGGTGAGTTATTTCTGCTGACACCATTTCCACAAAACTCCACCTCAGAGACCCCGTGAGGAGTTCAGGGACCACCTGTGTGATTTGATGCTCTAATGATGAACAGACGTTTGTTTCAGTCTTTGCATTCAAGGTTCAGCCTTTCATATGAAAGTTACAGTTTCAATCCTCACCCAGAGTTTAGACTCGGCACATAATGTTTGAACAGTTTCCCCTCGTCAGTGCACTGGGAGTTATTTTTTAAGGCTGGCTGTCCCAGCACTTCCACTTTCTTGTGTTAGCCATGATTCCAGAGCAGTCGTTCGGGGTGCATGTCAGTGGGTGTGTGCAGGGGGAGCACGTGGACGTGTGCGCTTCACATCATCTTGCTAACGCTGTCACTCTGCCAGTTACAACAATCCCACCTATGAGCTTTGTAGACGTTCTGCTTTCGTAAAAGGGAGGTGGGAGCTGCGAACACGAGGACTCTGGCTGGAGGCGTTCTCCTTGACTGTGGCGGACTTCACGTCTCTGCTCACACGTCCACCACACAAGTTTGTCCTTCAGCTCTTAAGAAGAAGACGACAGGTTGGACCTCACAGCACATGGCAGGGATGCAGTGCAATTGTTCTGTTTTGTTCTAATGACCTGTATGAATAATAGTTTTACTGCTAACATCCTCTCTCAGATGACCAAAACGTTCTTTTTAAATGTCTCTCAGGCTTCCCTCTAACTGGTAATAGACCCCTACCGTCTGATTTTGTCCTGTCTGCCCTCAACACTTGTTTTGCACTGGTATTCAATTATTTGTGCTTTATTTTTGTGTTTGTGAGTTACAAAGAAGAAGAAACTAGCGCAGTTTTATTTCCTAAAAACACGGGTAGCAATAAATAATCCAGCCTGATATGTACCATATATTGTGTATACATGTAAAAACCCTGTAAGTACCAAAGACATGTATTAAATTACTAGATTCTCTACATGAAGCTGGAAGTTGAAGCCAAAGCTGTCACATGATGTTTTTAACCACACTGGTTAAAAAATACACCTGATTGTTTTCAGGTGTTGATGAGTCACGTAGTTCTCACCTCACTGCTGTGTGGTCAAATATTTATCCAAGTTCAGCTGTATTTACTTATTTCATCCTTGAAACAAAAGTCATGTAACACCAGGATGGCGTGCGGATAAGTGGGCGGGGCTTAAATCCCCACATCACTAGTGCACAGATTTTGTTTCCAAAAATACAGCATGTGAAGCAGGTCCTGCTGGCTTCAAGTCCCGCTAGAAAAGACGAGGGCACGTCTACTATTTGAATACATGTCTATGGTAAGAACCTGATGCGTACTCTTTACAGACCGAGTACAAGCCGGGCCGCAGTATATATTGCTACCAGAACATGACCGTCGTTCATTCAGATAGTTCGTTCCTGTCTTGATATCATGCCCAGTGGAAGGGTCCCAGCTGGGACTGCTGCTCTGGGCTCCTGGCCTGGTGAACCTGGACTCCATCAGTCCACTACGTGTTCCAGATCCTGTAATGTGCTTGCTGACTGTTGGGAAGTATTATATTTAAAATGATGACCCATGATAGATCATTTCCATAAACTGCTTACACATCAATGAGTGACCGTGTACATATACTTTTGTATGGAAACAATTTTTGGTTATTAAAGAGTTCAATGGCATGGGTGAATTTGCCCCCTCTGAAAGAGTTGCCTCTGCTTTATTTATTTATTTTTTACTTGTGCGTGCGTACGTGCGTGCGTGTGTGTGTGTGCATGTGATGGTTTTGAAATGTTTTCAGTTTAAGAGTTACAATCAGCCTAACATGCATGTTTTTGGTCTGTGGGAGGAAACTGGAGTACCCGGAGAAAACCCACGCATGCACGGAGAGAACATGCAAACTCCACCCAAAGGGGCCTCCAGACGGGATTTGAACCGCGGCGACCTGCTCGCTGAGAGGCGGCAGCTCTACCAACTGCACCACCGTGCTGCCCTCGCTTAGTGACAGAACTAACAAAAGAAAAGTCCAAACACAAACGGCTCTAATTGGAGTAAAGCTCAGTCATACTTCACAGCAGAGTCAGAAAGTTGTTCCGTTTTAATTTGTTTTACGTTTTTGACACAATTACCGTTTAAGTTATTTTTACAGGTTTTCAACAATGTTCAACTGACAGTTGATGTCAACACTGACTTTTGACTTGTCTCAAATTATCTTTTTGTTTTTTTGACTTCCAGAACTTTTTTTGGTGCGTCCTGTATAAAAATTATTCATCAGAACTCAAGTATTTTTTTTTTGTTTTTTACCTGCTGTGCTTTTTAACAGGACTTGTGGTTGTCCCTTGAATTTACCCAGAAAGCAAAGTGCTTATCCTCCATAGACTTAAACTATTGTTTGGCTTAAAATATTGTTTTCTAAACTAGAAGAGAAGTCTCGTAACTTTTCATATCTCTGACATCAAACACTAGAACCATGACAAATCGCACGTGGTCATCAAGTCTTCTGTTCGTGGTTTAAGAAGTTTGAGGATGTGACATCGTTTTCGCACAGTGACTGTTTGAGGCTTACTTTTCATTTGCATCTCATTAAGTTGGAAGTCAGAAAGTGATGGTGGTGGATACATGTGCGCCCTCTGCTCATTACGATCTGTCACTCTGCACCGCCTCGGACAAGGAAATGATGCGATGGGGCGTTTGCAAACTACCTACAGTATTTTTGTTTTTCAGGCCTGCCGGAGGAGCAGTTCTCTGAAGAAAGAGAGTCCAACAGAAAAGTTTCAAATATCTTTAAAAGACCCACTGAGGAAAAAGAGTGGGTTAATCTTTTTGAGATTTTTCAGTTTTTTACCTCATTTTGTGTTTGTGACCCATGTTTCATAAGATTTCATATCATAAACGTGCTTTCAGAGAATGGAGATAATTGTAATGAAACATAAACCACCTGCACCCAGTTTGATTAACTGGTCACAAATACTGAACGTTTCCAGAAACCGTCTGAAAAGTCTCATGGACAGATCGCTGTGCCAAAGTCCACACAAATACCAGAAGAGATGAGGAAGCGGGTGACTGAGGTGTATCCGTGTGGAGGCTCACAAACCAACTCCATGGCTCTGGGACTCCAAAGGTTCCTATAATCTACGAACAGATAAGATTTGAAGCAACAGCGAACCTTCCCAGAGGTTGCCGACCTTCCAGAATTCCTCCCAAAGCATGCCAATGAGTCATACGGGAAGATCCGAGGAAAACACGAGCGACCCCGTGGGCCTCTTTCACCTCAAAGGTCAAGGGTCACGGCTCACCCATCTGAAACACAGAATGGCACCCATAGTGTGGCGAGGTGAACACCCCTGCCAGCCTAGAGCCACGTGCAGCCTCGTCTATCCCAAGACTGCCTTTACGCACCTTGACGTGGTCTTAAGGCTGTTTCGTCGTGTTCAAAGGTTGACCTGATAAAAGACCAAGTTTCAGTTACATCTGACATGAACCAAACACCCACTTTAGTAGAAGCACGCATTGAAATCAAGCTTTCAGTCTACTTTTATAGATTTACTTTGCTGTGTCAAAGTAACTTCCCATGATTGAGCTGCCTGGATTCTGCTCTGGATAAGACCAAGAAGGAGAACAGTCAGTAAATCAGAACTCGAGCAGATTGGGCTTACGCAGTAAGACACAGATCCCAAACATTTACGTTCACATCTGAACGGCTCAAAGGGAACAAAATAGACGTTAGACGTGATTTAATCAGAATGGGGCCATAAATCCCTTTAGCCTGAAACGATCAGTTTTTACTTCTTCAGTGGTTTGTGTGGCTGCCTTCATGTCCTGCAGAGACGAGTGAGTCACAGTTGGACCTTGAGCTTCCAGGAGAGCTTTGAGTTCCTGCTAAAGGTAAGAGCAGTTAAAGCTGGAGGATGATTTGCTTTAGCTCTGTC